GTTTATTATTAAAGTTGTCAGGATTAGTTTCTCACTAAGAAGTGTCACCTCACTAACAGAAGTTATAATATTGTTTGTACACAAATGAATAGAGATAAAAGCAGATCTCAGCTCAGTCGGTGAAGTGGTGGCGGCTTCTCAAAGTGTCTTTCGGTCATAGAGGAGGATTTGGACGCAGACAGATTTCAATGAATTCAATTAAAGCGGAGGACTCAGTCATGTGATCGATAATGACGTAATCCGTATTTCCTTGTTGTTGATTGGTTTGAAAACAAGTCTGAACTCTATTGGCTGGCTTCAATTGGACCAATCAAAGGATGTGACGTCAGCGCACTCATGGTCTATATAAGAGTAAGGGAGCGGTTTAAGGAAACACTTTTTGAGAGAATCTATCGCTGTTTTAGAATGTCTGGACGCGGCAAACAAGGCGGGAAGACTCGTGCTAAGGCCAAGACCCGATCATCCCGAGCCGGTCTGCAGTTCCCAGTCGGTCGTGTTCACCGTCTGCTCAGGAAAGGAAACTACGCCCAGCGGGTCGGGGCTGGAGCTCCCGTCTACCTGGCCGCCGTTCTGGAGTATCTGACCGCTGAGATCCTCGAGCTGGCCGGCAACGCCGCCCGGGACAACAAGAAGACCCGCATCATCCCCCGACACCTCCAGCTGGCTGTCCGCAACGACGAGGAGCTCAACAAGCTGCTCGGTGGGGTCACCATCGCCCAGGGAGGAGTCCTGCCCAACATCCAGGCCGTGCTGCTGCCCAAGAAGACCGAAAGTCACAAAGCTTCCAAGGCCAAGTAATCATCCATCAGCATAAACCTCCATTACAGAACCCAAAGGCTCTTTTCAGAGCCACCCACATCTCCACACAGAGAGCTCCTAATACAAGATGGCAATGTGTATAAAATGACTTGCAATTGATTTTGGTAATTGTATAAAATGAGTCCTGAAGTGGAAGAACAGGAGAGATTAGCTCGCTGATTATCTCCTATAGTTCTTCACACCAAGTCACGTGTCCTCCCCAAATCGCAGATCTCCAACCCGTTCATTGCTGAATTGTATTTCATACTGTGCAGATCACGTGCTCCCTCTCAGCGCAGAGCATTACTTATATTACATATCCATGTTATTGTCTGATGGAGGAATCGGTGTACCTGAACTCTATTGACGTCACAGATGTAGAATCAGCCCGGTAATACCGCCAAATGTGAGAGTGTGAAGACAAAGAGGATTAAACTGCCGATTATATCTTGAAAGGAGAAATATTTATATTCTGACTTCTAAAAATATGATGTCCCAGTTCTTGAAACAGGAGACAAGTTTTGGTTACATGTTAGGGAATAATGAACCGCCGGGACAGCGAGCAGACGGACCAGGGGGCCGAAGGCCGGGACAGCGAGTGGACGGACCAGGGGACCGGAGGGCGGGACAGCAGCGGAGGTAAGGGGGCCAGTGCACTGTATTTATTACATGTACCGGCAACTGTATGGGGGTTGAACATTCGACCCCCATACACTTGCATTGAGTTCGATTTCGTATTCGAACATTTCGGCCATTCGAATGTTCGAATACGAACTGAACAGGGGGGTGTTCGGCTCATCCCTAGTTGTAAGGTACTTAAAAAAACATACGATCTGCCTATCTTGCATAGGCAGATCGTACTTGCGATGATCGCAAGCCATGCCCCCTGAGGTGCGTGCTTCCGATTACCGCAATGCCGAACAGGCAGTGTGCGCTTGCGCACACCGGCCCGTCCGGCTTTTATCTCACGAATATTCTACACACCCGCCGAACATTGTACGATCCTCGCCGGGTTTTGAAACATGTTCATAAGTTTAAAGCCGTGCGACCTTACAGTAGTAGAGGTCGCAAGGCTTCCACACACCTTACGATAATCGTACGATCGCGGGATTTCCCGCGATTATCGTACGATTATTGTAAGGTGTGTGGGGACCTTAAGACTGTTGGGTCAGATGAGAAGTTCAGATCTTCAAATAAATTGGCTCTTTGGTTCACTTGCTGAGTTGGATGACAAGTGAACCAAAGCTCAGGATCTGTCTGACTCTTCATAAAAGATCCGAATCAGAAGACTCTGATTCCGAGAAGGGAGGCAGCTCCTGGGTGGATCGTTCTAGTGATCACTGGCTCAGGGCTGTGACAAGTTTGGTTTTATGTCAGACCAGCCAGTGTCATCACTTCTGGTGACGCGCCATCAGCTGATAGTAAAAAGCTGTAAAAAGCGTGTTCCTGTGCATGCGCTCTGCATTCTCATGAGCTGATGTCACATTGGTAGTCAGATTTGTCCCTAGTCTTTACAGCTCATGGGTGGAAATTACGATAGGATTTTAGTACCGTGGGTGCAGTACCCGTGATAGTAAATCAAATCGTCATTGCGCTGTAAAGACTAAGGACACATCTGACTAATGTGACATCAACTCATCAGAATGCATGCGCAAAAACACTTTTTACTGTCACAGCTAATTGCGCGTCACCAGAAGTGACGACTTTGGCTGATGTGATAGAATGGCTGGTCTGACATAAAACCAAATGTGTGACCTCTCTGAGCCAAGGCACTGATCCCCAGGAGATGCCCCCCCATCTCTAATCACTGATCCCCTGGAGTTGCTCCCCCTTTTCTGATCACTGACCCCCAGGAGCTGACACACACACTTCTCTCAATCAGAGTCTTCTGATTCTGATCTTTTATGAGGATTAAATCTGCCTGCGCCAGGCAGATTTACCGTATTTTTCCGTCTATAAGACGCCCCCATGTATAGGACGCCCCCCACTTTTCTTACCCAAAATTCAGAAATCAATATTTTCCATGCTCTTTTGCATAACTGATTACATCCAATTTAAATTTTGCAGAGTAAGACAGCCGCTTCCTGGTACCGGTATTTTATTTGTTTTCTGACATTTTATAGACTAGAATGCTCCGACATTACCGGAGCCTGTTGCATCTGGGCACTGGCTACGGGCTCAGCATCAGCTGACATCGGGCACATAAGGCTCATGATTGGAGGAAACCTGTTAGCTTGTCTTTGCAATTGGAAGTTTCACTCGTGAGGCTAGTTTGCAGAGGTATCGGCAGTTTCGCAACCGCGGTTCTCCTCCCGGCCCCGTGTATAAGACGCCCTTCCATTTTTAGGTAAATACTTTTATGAAAAAGTAGCGTCTTATACACGGAAAAATACAGTACATTTGTTTTCCCTCTTAGCAGACATGGTTACAAGTGTTTATAGATGTAACATCTGTATCAGCACTCAGCAAGTTCTTATATCAGTTACATATGGATACAATACAGATACATGACTCCAATGTCTCCGGGAAGATCTACAATGTAATCGGACTGTTTCCTTTCAGAATTTTACCTCCAAATATTGTTTATTATTAAAGTTGTCAGGATTAGTTTCTCACTAAGAAGTGTCACCTCACTAACAGAAGTTATAATATTGTTTGTACACAAATGAATAGAGATAAAAGCAGATCTCAGCTCAGTCGGTGAAGTGGTGGCGGCTTCTCAAAGTGTCTTTCGGTCATAGAGGAGGATTTGGACGCAGACAGATTTCAATGAATTCAATTAAAGCGGAGGACTCAGTCATGTGATCGATAATGACGTAATCCGTATTTCCTTGTTGTTGATTGGTTTGAAAACAAGTCTGAACTCTATTGGCTGGCTTCAATTGGACCAATCAAAGGATGTGACGTCAGCGCACTCATGGTCTATATAAGAGTAAGGGAGCGGTTTAAGGAAACACTTTTTGAGAGAATCTATCGCTGTTTTAGAATGTCTGGACGCGGCAAACAAGGCGGGAAGACTCGTGCTAAGGCCAAGACCCGATCATCCCGAGCCGGTCTGCAGTTCCCAGTCGGTCGTGTTCACCGTCTGCTCAGGAAAGGAAACTACGCCCAGCGGGTCGGGGCTGGAGCTCCCGTCTACCTGGCCGCCGTTCTGGAGTATCTGACCGCTGAGATCCTCGAGCTGGCCGGCAACGCCGCCCGGGACAACAAGAAGACTCGCATCATCCCCCGACACCTCCAGCTGGCTGTCCGCAACGACGAGGAGCTCAACAAACTGCTCGGTGGGGTCACCATCGCCCAGGGAGGAGTCCTGCCCAACATCCAGGCCGTGCTGCTCCCCAAGAAGACCGAAAGTCATAAAGCTTCCAAGGCCAAGTAAACATTCATCAGCATTAACTTCCATTACAGAACCCAAAGGCTCTTTTCAGAGCCACCCACATCTCCATACAGAGAGCTCCTAATACAAGATGTAAATGTGTATAAAATTACTTGTAATTGTATAAAATGAGTCTTGAAGTGGAAGAATAGGAGAGATTGGCTCGCTGATTTATCTCCCTATAGATCTTCCGATCAAGTCGTGTGCTCTCCAAATCGCAGATCTCCAACCCTTTCATTGCTGAAGTGCAACGTTACAGATCTAGAATCAGCCCGGTAATACCGCTATATGTGAGTGTGAAGACAAAGATGATTATACTGCCGATTATATCTGGAAAGGAGAAATCCCATTTATATTCTGACTTCTAAAACTATGATGTCCCAGTTCTTGAAACCGGAGAAAAGTCTATAATGTATTTAGGATAAATGTCAGAGAAGGACTGTCCTGTGGGGGGGACGGGGGATCTGTGTCACATAAAACAGCGGAGGTCCATAGACGTCCTAACAATAATACAGTTACAATGTTGGAATCTATTAGACTCTGTAATAGGTTACAATTTGCCGGTAAAAGTAAACCGCTTTATTCATTCACTCCAACAAAATATTTTTGTAGATAGGGGCAAATAAGAATTTAATGAGCGGGGATTTCGAACCGAGTGGAGGCTGAGTGTGGAGACGATTCCCGCCTAGATGGGCGGGGCTTTTAGAACATCTCGGACACGCCTCCTTACCCCTCCCCTCTCCGCTCACCATCAGGTCCACTTTTTCTGCATAAAAGGAAGTGACGAGGGCTGCGTTTCTTCATTGTTTGTCTGACTAACGAAGCGTAATCATGTCTGGTCGCGGTAAAGGCGGGAAGGGTCTGGGGAAAGGAGGCGCTAAGCGGCACAGGAAGGTGCTCCGGGACAACATTCAGGGCATCACCAAGCCCGCCATCCGACGCTTAGCCCGCAGAGGGGGTGTCAAGCGCATCTCCGGACTCATCTATGAGGAGACCCGCGGAGTGCTCAAGGTTTTCCTGGAGAATGTCATCCGCGATGCCGTCACCTACACCGAGCACGCCAAGAGGAAGACCGTCACCGCCATGGATGTCGTCTATGCTCTCAAACGCCAGGGACGCACTCTCTACGGGTTCGGAGGTTAAATCCTAATTACACTCCGATCACTTATTCCATCTACACAAAGGTCCTTCTCAGGGCCACCCACCTTCTCATACAAAGAGCCGTAATTAAGATCTTGCCTTCAATCGGTCCACTTATCGTCACAATGTAAATGTATACACGTTTTCTGTTGTATACAGTGGGGGGCGGGCAGATTCGGTGACTGTTGTATTTATCATTTAATAAGAATGGTGTTTGTGTATTATATAAATAGCGCATCAAATCTTAAACGTGTCGTTTAAGATTAAACGTAAAAAGATTTTTACTTTTAATCTTAAACGTAACTTGGGAATACAACCCGAGTAAGAATAGATCTGTATAATAATGTGACTTCTAGATGAAATGGTTTATCTTTCTGTAATATTCTGCACAGCGGATACAGTCAGACTTGTATTCTCTCATCTTTATTACAATATATGGGAACGTGTTTGTTTTTGGAGAGAATAGACATCATGCAGAAGTTCATTTGTTGTAAAAGAAAACATTGTATAGACTACAGGGAGATATCTCACTTGTATATTCTCTTCATGTTGATCTTTCTATGCAGAGAAGAACAAGGCTGAATGATGCATTATAAAAAAAAAAACACAGAATATATCAATGAGAACAGACAACTGAACCTAATCCTGAGGGGAAGAATATCAATCACAGACATGGTGACAATAAAGTGCTACAGACTGAGCACAGACACTTCTGTGCAGCTTGTAAATACGTATTTCTAGCAGATTGAGTTCCCTCTTGTGAGCTTTTGTATTCACTAACTTGAAGACTTTGATGTTCCATAAATGAACGTTGTTTTTAATGTACACACAGCAAAACCCAAGACTTGGAGAGTGTAGGTGGGTGCAGAATGATAACAGAATGTCATTGAGATTGGAAAATGTTTTACAAAGTCCTATGACATGGGGCTTGTCATATTCAAACATGATGTTGTGACCTCTTATTAGTCTGCACACATCATTTCCTCTACACATTATTTTGGGCTCCCTTTGATGTCTTGTGTTGCCTTCTGATTGTCATGGGGAATATAAGTCGGTAAATCCAATATTGAATTGCCCCCACAATAGGAATAGAGGGGGGGGGGGGGGGATCTGATTCCGAGAAGGGAGGCAGCTCCTGGGTGGATCGTTCTAGTGATCACTGGCTCAGGGCTGTGACAAGTTTGGTTTTATGTCAGACCAGCCAGTGTCATCACTTCTGGTGACGCGCCATCAGCTGATAGTAAAAAGCTGTAAAAAGCGTGTTCCTGTGCATGCGCTCTGCATTCTCATGAGCTGATGTCACATTGGTAGTCAGATTTGTCCCTAGTCTTTACAGCTCATGGGTGGAAATTACGATAGGATTTTAGTACCGTGGGTGCAGTACCCGTGATAGTAAATCAAATCGTCATTGCGCTGTAAAGACTAAGGACACATCTGACTAATGTGACATCAACTCATCAGAATGCATGCGCAAAAACACTTTTTACTGTCACAGCTAATTGCGCGTCACCAGAAGTGACGACTTTGGCTGATGTGATAGAATGGCTGGTCTGACATAAAACCAAATGTGTGACCTCTCTGAGCCAAGGCACTGATCCCCAGGAGATGCCCCCCCATCTCTAATCACTGATCCCCTGGAGTTGCTCCCCCTTTTCTGATCACTGACCCCCAGGAGCTGACACACACACTTCTCTCAATCAGAGTCTTCTGATTCTGATCTTTTATGAGGATTAAATCTGCCTGCGCCAGGCAGATTTACCGTATTTTTCCGTCTATAAGACGCCCCCATGTATAGGACGCCCCCCACTTTTCTTACCCAAAATTCAGAAATCAATATTTTCCATGCTCTTTTGCATAACTGATTACATCCAATTTAAATTTTGCAGAGTAAGACAGCCGCTTCCTGGTACCGGTATTTTATTTGTTTTCTGACATTTTATAGACTAGAATGCTCCGACATTACCGGAGCCTGTTGCATCTGGGCACTGGCTACGGGCTCAGCATCAGCTGACATCGGGCACATAAGGCTCATGATTGGAGGAAACCTGTTAGCTTGTCTTTGCAATTGGAAGTTTCACTCGTGAGGCTAGTTTGCAGAGGTATCGGCAGTTTCGCAACCGCGGTTCTCCTCCCGGCCCCGTGTATAAGACGCCCTTCCATTTTTAGGTAAATACTTTTATGAAAAAGTAGCGTCTTATACACGGAAAAATACAGTACATTTGTTTTCCCTCTTAGCAGACATGGTTACAAGTGTTTATAGATGTAACATCTGTATCAGCACTCAGCAAGTTCTTATATCAGTTACATATGGATACAATACAGATACATGACTCCAATGTCTCCGGGAAGATCTACAATGTAATCGGACTGTTTCCTTTCAGAATTTTACCTCCAAATATTGTTTATTATTAAAGTTGTCAGGATTAGTTTCTCACTAAGAAGTGTCACCTCACTAACAGAAGTTATAATATTGTTTGTACACAAATGAATAGAGATAAAAGCAGATCTCAGCTCAGTCGGTGAAGTGGTGGCGGCTTCTCAAAGTGTCTTTCGGTCATAGAGGAGGATTTGGACGCAGACAGATTTCAATGAATTCAATTAAAGCGGAGGACTCAGTCATGTGATCGATAATGACGTAATCCGTATTTCCTTGTTGTTGATTGGTTTGAAAACAAGTCTGAACTCTATTGGCTGGCTTCAATTGGACCAATCAAAGGATGTGACGTCAGCGCACTCATGGTCTATATAAGAGTAAGGGAGCGGTTTAAGGAAACACTTTTTGAGAGAATCTATCGCTGTTTTAGAATGTCTGGACGCGGCAAACAAGGCGGGAAGACTCGTGCTAAGGCCAAGACCCGATCATCCCGAGCCGGTCTGCAGTTCCCAGTCGGTCGTGTTCACCGTCTGCTCAGGAAAGGAAACTACGCCCAGCGGGTCGGGGCTGGAGCTCCCGTCTACCTGGCCGCCGTTCTGGAGTATCTGACCGCTGAGATCCTCGAGCTGGCCGGCAACGCCGCCCGGGACAACAAGAAGACTCGCATCATCCCCCGACACCTCCAGCTGGCTGTCCGCAACGACGAGGAGCTCAACAAACTGCTCGGTGGGGTCACCATCGCCCAGGGAGGAGTCCTGCCCAACATCCAGGCCGTGCTGCTCCCCAAGAAGACCGAAAGTCATAAAGCTTCCAAGGCCAAGTAAACATTCATCAGCATTAACTTCCATTACAGAACCCAAAGGCTCTTTTCAGAGCCACCCACATCTCCATACAGAGAGCTCCTAATACAAGATGTAAATGTGTATAAAATTACTTGTAATTGTATAAAATGAGTCTTGAAGTGGAAGAATAGGAGAGATTGGCTCGCTGATTTATCTCCCTATAGATCTTCCGATCAAGTCGTGTGCTCTCCAAATCGCAGATCTCCAACCCTTTCATTGCTGAAGTGCAACGTTACAGATCTAGAATCAGCCCGGTAATACCGCTATATGTGAGTGTGAAGACAAAGATGATTATACTGCCGATTATATCTGGAAAGGAGAAATCCCATTTATATTCTGACTTCTAAAACTATGATGTCCCAGTTCTTGAAACCGGAGAAAAGTCTATAATGTATTTAGGATAAATGTCAGAGAAGGACTGTCCTGTGGGGGGGACGGGGGATCTGTGTCACATAAAACAGCGGAGGTCCATAGACGTCCTAACAATAATACAGTTACAATGTTGGAATCCATTAGACTCTGTAATAGGTTACAATTTGCCGATTAAAGTAAACCGCTTTATTCATTCGCTCCAACAAAATATTTTTGTAGATAGGGGCAAATAAGAATTTAATGAGCGGGGATTTCAAACCGAGTGGAGGCTGAGTGTGGAGACGATTCCCGCCTAGATGGGCGGGGCTTTTAGAACATCTCGGACACGCCTCCTTACCCCTCCCCTCTCCGCTCACCATCAGGTCCACTTTTTCTGCATAAAAGGAAGTGACGAGGGCTGCGTTTCTTCATTGTTTGTCTGACTAACGAAGCGTAATCATGTCTGGTCGCGGTAAAGGCGGGAAGGGTCTGGGGAAAGGAGGCGCTAAGCGGCACAGGAAGGTGCTCCGGGACAACATTCAGGGCATCACCAAGCCCGCCATCCGACGCTTAGCCCGCAGAGGGGGTGTCAAGCGCATCTCCGGACTCATCTATGAGGAGACCCGCGGAGTGCTCAAGGTTTTCCTGGAGAATGTCATCCGCGATGCCGTCACCTACACCGAGCACGCCAAGAGGAAGACCGTCACCGCCATGGATGTCGTCTATGCTCTCAAACGCCAGGGACGCACTCTCTACGGGTTCGGAGGTTAAATCCTAATTACACTCCGATCACTTATTCCATCTACACAAAGGTCCTTCTCAGGGCCACCCACCTTCTCATACAAAGAGCCGTAATTAAGATCTTGCCTTCAATCGGTCCACTTATCGTCACAATGTAAATGTATACACGTTTTCTGTTGTATACAGTGGGGGGCGGGCAGATTCGGTGACTGTTGTATTTATCATTTAATAAGAATGGTGTTTGTGTATTATATAAATAGCGCATCAAATCTTAAACGTGTCGTTTAAGATTAAACGTAAAAAGATTTTTACTTTTAATCTTAAACGTAACTTGGGAATACAACCCGAGTAAGAATAGATCTGTATAATAATGTGACTTCTAGATGAAATGGTTTATCTTTCTGTAATATTCTGCACAGCGGATACAGTCAGACTTGTATTCTCTCATCTTTATTACAATATATGGGAACGTGTTTGTTTTTGGAGAGAATAGACATCATGCAGAAGTTCATTTGTTGTAAAAGAAAACATTGTATAGACTACAGGGAGATATCTCACTTGTATATTCTCTTCATGTTGATCTTTCTATGCAGAGAAGAACAAGGCTGAATGATGCATTATAAAAAAAAAAACACAGAATATATCAATGAGAACAGACAACTGAACCTAATCCTGAGGGGAAGAATATCAATCACAGACATGGTGACAATAAAGTGCTACAGACTGAGCACAGACACTTCTGTGCAGCTTGTAAATACGTATTTCTAGCAGATTGAGTTCCCTCTTGTGAGCTTTTGTATTCACTAACTTGAAGACTTTGATGTTCCATAAATGAACGTTGTTTTTAATGTACACACAGCAAAACCCAAGACTTGGAGAGTGTAGGTGGGTGCAGAATGATAACAGAATGTCATTGAGATTGGAAAATGTTTTACAAAGTCCTATGACATGGGGCTTGTCATATTCAAACATGATGTTGTGACCTCTTATTAGTCTGCACACATCATTTCCTCTACACATTATTTTGGGCTCCCTTTGATGTCTTGTGTTGCCTTCTGATTGTCATGGGGAATATAAACATAATTGATTTGCCCCACAAAAGGAAAAGGGGGGGGGGGGGGGCATCCATTGAGGAGACTTTGTTTTTCTGTAATACATTGTCTCACATTGGAAAGATATCCTTACATTTCATATTGAGTCTACAGGACAGGAAGTGAGGGGAAAGCTGCCGAAATAAAACTGATCGGTTTACTCTTCTACTACCCAAAAGGATATTTGTTCTTTTAGTGAAGAGTAAAGAAGTCCCACCATTTAGTTTCTCTTTGGAATGGAAATTACTCTCAGAACACAATAATAGTAAATAAATCATGCTATTAATATTAGTTTTTTTTTTCGGTTAAAGGAAAATTACTCTGTTGCATTTAGAATTGTCACGCTGCAATTGACATGACTTATCTTGCATGTGATTTTCCTACAACCTATTTCAGTATAATAAACATTTATATTTCTTTACTATTAGTCAGAATTCGCAACACATATAGAGGGCTCAGATATCTACAGGAATATAGAGGGGGAGGGGAATGGAAAATCTTAATTTTTACAATTTTATATACAATATTCTGAGGAAAAAACCCTTATAAACATGTAGAATTGTATAACAAGTGTTCACCATTTGGACTGCACTGGGAACTCTAATGTCGTTCTGAGAGGAAACAATCCGATGACATTGTAGATCTTCACAGATCTCAGTACAGAGCCGATGCATCATGTGACCACCAGGTGGCAGTGTTGTCCCTCCATAGAGGAGACATTGGAGTCATGTATCTGTATTGTATCCATATGTAACTGATATAAGGACTTGCTGAGTGCTGATACAAATGTTACATCTATAAACAATTTGTGTCCACAAAGGGGGGACAATGGATACGATTGTTTCCTCTATCGGGGAAATTGTCATTTCACTCTGTAGAAGACACAGCCTGGCAGAGCGTTTTTTTCCCTCTTCAGACTCATCCGAGGCCGGAAAATTCCTCGATTTTTCCTAAGCTCACGTTGCTGCTTTTTTTTGTCTTGTTCGGAATCAGATTCAAATGTTCCATCGAGACTTTCTTCTTATAAAGATGATCCCATCACAGGCTGGACATGTTCCCTACAGACCCCTCCTATTTGATCCTCTGCTCTTCCATATACCGGATTCAGTACAGGAGGATTTCCCTCCATCTACCTCCAAGCACCTACTTCTATCTGCGAACTTTTGAAATAGACAGTCGTCTTAGATTTCGCTGAGATACCAATTCACAGATAACAGGACTTTAAAAAATAAAATGGGCCACTATAATTTGTATGCGACGGAGAGAAAACGTGTAGAATGTTCTAGAGTACAAGATAAGTGTGAGGGAAAGCATGCCACAGATCTGACTCAGGGGGGCGCTGCAGGAGTTTATTAATAGATATCGGATTGTACACATTGTAAAGGTTCAGCCTCTGCTGGCAGGTTATACGAGGCTTCCCCAATCTACAGACTGATCAGCGACTACCAATATGCATATTATAGGAAGAGAAGATCGAACAGTCGCCCAATACATTCTACTTCTTACACGTACTGCGGAAACCCCCATAACCAGAAATAGTCAGCAGGTTACAGCTCTTTGTATGAGAAGGTGGGTGGCCCCGAGAAGGACCTTTGTGTAGATGGAATAAGTGATCGGAGTGTAATTAGGATTTAACCCCCGAATCCGTAGAGAGTGCGCCCCTGGCGTTTGAGAGCATAGACGACATCCATGGCGGTGACGGTCTTCCTCTTGGCGTGCTCGGTGTAGGTGACGGCATCGCGGATGACATTCTCCAGGAAAACCTTGAGCACTCCGCGGGTCTCCTCATAGATGAGTCCGGAGATGCGCTTGACACCCCCTCTGCGGGCCAAACGTCGGATGGCGGGTTTGGTGATGCCCTGGATGTTGTCCCGGAGCACCTTCCTGTGCCGCTTAGCGCCTCCTTTCCCCAGACCCTTCCCACCTTTACCGCGACCAGACATCTTTATCCTCTTTCTTAGTCAGACAAAGACTAACTACAGAAAAACTCAGCCCTGGCTCTTCCTTTTATACTTGACATGCGGACCTCATAGGGAACTGAGAGGGGAAGGGTTAGGAGGCGTGTCCGTGAGGAGCCGAGAATGCTCCGCCTCTCTAGGCGGGAATTAGCCCAACATTTAGCCGTTACTAAGTTTGAAATTCCCGCTCATTATTTTCTCCTTTAGAGAAAGATTTTGTTGGGGTTTAATAAAGCCGTTTAGTGTATCCGGCAAATTGTAACCTTCTATTAGAGATTATAATGTAATCCAACATTTTGATTATTATTAGAAGGACTTCTATGGACCTCCGCTGTCTCCTGTCATAAGATGAGGTGATTCTAGGATGAAACATTACACAGTTCCACACATTTTGTATAATACATAACGTAACGTACTCAAAATCAATCATGTTCTTTATTGTGTTGTTTGGTGTTTGTTGGTTTATCACTTCACTCCAAGCTTTAAAATCAGAATATTGTATTATATATCGTATTATACTCTGATATGTAAGAAATCATAAAGGTAAACACAGTGACTTCTATATAAAGGGGGGATTCCAAAAGTGACCTATTCCATTCAGTGTCATGTGATACAGTTATGTGAGGAGGAGAATTCTCAGTGAATCCATTAATAATACTTCTTGTGTTCTGTCTCATTCATTGTTATATATCATCTCCACTGACTAGACCCAGAGAGACTGTCTACAGATATCCTACATCTCCGAAGCCCAACTTTGGCCCCTATTATGTGATCTTTGGGGCCCAGCAGATATGATTTTTCTTGGCTCACTAGTTTGAGGAAGCATCACAACACAGAATAGAATACAACAGAACGTCTTCTAGTAATTACACAGTTTGGTTTATTCCTTTTACACTAACTTACAATTGTCTGGCCATTTCTCCCCAATCTGATCTTTTACAATGGAGAGAAATATCAATTGTGTCACAGGGAATTGTTAGAGAGACTGTAGGGAGCAGTCATTTATAAAAGGGGGTAGAATAATCAGTGATCTCCAGCAGTCTCATGTTATGCGTCTCCTTGAGAACACCTACAGCCTCCAAATACAATATTTCCAGTCCCTTTATTGGCTTTTGTTTATCAAAATATTTTAAGAAAGTTGAGGTGATTTATAAAGGCCACCCGTTCGTTTGTGGAGACTTTCATTCCATTATAGACCGCTCTTTGGGTGTCTCTCTACCCAAATCCAAAGCTCTGACCGATGTGATGCACGGAGATGTCTGCACTTGGCTGAAAAAAGATTGGACTTTCTATCCCACCTCTCACACATCGTATTCCAGAATCGGTTTGTTTCTAGTGTACAAGTGGCGCTTACAACATATTTCTGCAGCATCTCTCCATTCTATTACATGGTCAGATCAGGCCGCTATTTCTATTCAAGGATCCAGTTATCCCAAATACAACCCTATGACGTAATAGTGCGCCCATTTTTACTCACACAAACATTTGTATCCAATGAACTAATTCTGGTGTGCTCATCAGGCATACATTAGAGGCCCTTTAATCCAAATAGTTTCAAGAGAGAAAAAAAACGCAAATCACAGAAATGAACAGATTCTTGAAGTCCTATCACCAGCTTGGAGGCCATTAATAAACGATCTTTCTCTCGCTCTGTAGCCGCTGACCTTTTGGCTTGTAGGAGAGAACTACAACGTTTACTCCTTCAGAACCATAAGTCGATTCTCCAAAGATCTAGAATACTGAATTATTCTCAGTCTAACAAGGCGGGTAATCTCATCGCTTCCCAAGGCAGAAAATCTTCAATGCAATGTCTCTGTGCAACATCCCATTACTAAGTCTTCTCCTCCTAAAGACATCGCCATTCGCCAATGCCTTTAAAGATTACTATAGTGCTTTATATAACTTACAGGATGATTCTTCTATCACTCAACCTTCCCAACAATCTATATAAAGGCATTTTAAGTGTCCATAATATTCCCGGAATATTTTAAAATGCAACAATCTAACGCAGCAGTCTCTAAACTAGAAGTAAGATTGGCTATTGAATCCCTTACTAATAATACATCACGTGGTATAGATGGTTTCTCTGCTGAATACTTCCAAACTGTTACAGAGAAATCATTCCCTAATGCCCACATCGCAGCCCCCCTTAGTAGTTTTTCCAAAAAAGATGTTGCAAGCTATAATGACTCTGCCGAAACCTGTTAAAGCTCCTGGCCATCCTCAACAATTTAGAGCCAAATCCTTATTAAATACAGATATCAAAATATATTTAAACCTTTTTGCAAATAGTCTTGTAACCATTACTCCTCATATTATTGTCCCGGATAAAATAGGTTCTGAGAAATCTAGACAATCATTAGATGATACTAGACGTCTGATCAATGTCATTAGATATCTTCAGACTCATCATATGTCTTCTCTGTTGTTGGCCTTAGACGTGGAGAAGTCATTCAATAGAGTGCATTGGGGATTTCTATCTCATGTTCCCCGATATTTTGCCTTTTCTTGTTATATACATTCTGCTGCTATGGCATTCCTATCTGCCTTCTACCCCTTGCTCTTCTCCTTGGTGATGGAGTCTTTTGGTATAGCAATTAGAGAGAACCACTCTATTGGTGGAGGGACCATTATTGGATATTCACACAAAAATGGCCTATTCGCTGATGGTGTTCTTTTTTTCTGACTGATCCCTTGCTTTCACTCCATGCTGTACAAGCTATTATTAAGAACATTGGGGATGTGTCCTATTATACAATAAATATTCCTATATCTTGTATCTTACATTTGGGTATGCCTGCTAACCTTCCTACTCACATTCAAAATCATGTTCTTACCATTGGGAACCCCTTGTCTATCCCATATTTAGGTATTCAACATACTTATCCTATAGACAAGTTGTATATTGTGAACTTTGTACCGTTATTGTCTTCTGCCAAACAAGATTTGAGATCTATATACCAATGCGAACTCTGGAGGACAGGCCATGTAGTGGTGTGTATAATGATGATTCTAACCAAAATTCTACATTATGTTAGAACTCTCCCTATTTCGATCTCACAATAGTATGTTAAACTCTTACTTCTGTCATTCGTTCCTACACCTGGAAGGGAAAAAGATGTAGAGTGTCAGATTCTAATTTGGTAAAACATTGATGAACATCATGACCGGGTATCCCAATAGTGCATGACTATAATTTACCAACCTTATTAGACCAATTACAATACTGGGTCAGTCAATACTACTAAACTGTGTATTTATACTGAGAAATCCTTCGTTTCTAATCTTACTATGGAAGCTTTTTTATTAGCAGCTACATTGTCTAACTCCGTTTTATTTCCACAATGTCAGACTTTCATATCTTCTATAACATCCTGGCGAATAGTCCTTGTAATTTATAATCAGTATTCTTCTCATCTTCTTTTACCACTTCCATTATCCGCCTTTTCGAGCCTTGGACCCAATCTGGATGTCAGCGGTTGGGTAGGACAAGTCTGCTTTTACCTCCTCCACTGGCGTCACTGTCTAATCTGTCCCATAAGTGTTACAGATGAAGTCCTATAACAAGTCATGTTCTACTTTATCTATCCCTCTATTTATTTAATTTATTCTCTCCCTTTATTTATTTAATAATAAAAGAGGATTATTTCCTATTTTAATTCCTATTGACATGATAAAAGTATGAGCTTTACATTTATATTTATCCTCAATTAGAAGAGGGATAGTAGACAATAGTTTCCCATAGACCAATGGCAGAAGGCAATCACATTGAGCTACTCAGGTTCTAAATGTGTAGACCATTCTATCACAATCCTCCATAACTGGTATATGACTCCATAGAAATTGGCTCAATTCTCCCCAGATGTATCACCACTATGTTGGAGACAATGTGGATATATTGGTGATCTTCTACGTATTATGTGGGACTATAAGATTGTTTTCAAGTTTTTGGAACTCTGTATTCTCTCTCCAAAATCACAGGAATACCTGACCACCATCTCCCCCATTAGTGTTATTGAATATAGACAATCACTTCAATCCTGGAGGGTTCAGAGTCACGTGACACGTGTTATAATTGCTAGTAGATTGGATACTTCCAACATGTGGAAACAGTCTGTAAAGGAGGGTAGGGTCTGGGGAAAGGGGGTGCTAAGCCCCACAGGAAGGTCAAGGGTTGGGGGTCACAGTATAATGATTCAAGAATTGTCTGACTGTATACAGCTTAATAGGTGGAATGTATCACATCAATATAAAGTCACATCCAACATTGTGTCCGGCTTAGATTGTGACTACAGCAAGAACCTGGAGTGTTATTCTGGCCGGGTAGACACAATTATAAGAAAATGCTGAAAGAGTATAAGATACATTTGTATCAATGAGGGGAAAATAGAGAAACAAAAAACAATGATTACAAAGTGTGAGAAACGTCGAATGTGTTCTCACAATTGACTTACTCATTTAATTCCCATCAAGGCTTCTGCTATCAATCATCAATAATCAATAACGATAATCATCATCTTCATTACCAATAGATTCGGATTTGGCGGCATAACGAACTTTGTTTTTAATAGAAAAGTGAAATAACTCCGGCGGGTATTTTAAAGGAGCTATTTAATTCAAACCAATCAGGATTGTGGTGTTGTCTGTCTTAGCCAATAGGAGCAATTCTGTTCTGAAATATGTAAAATGTTCATTTCTATTTTGCGGGAAACATTCACATTGTTTTTGTAATACACATGTGAGTGTTTGATTGTAACGTGCAACTAAATCCAAGTTACAAGCTCTTAAATCTTCAGGTTTGGTTCGAACCAAATAAACGGAAAGGAATGTATTTCAGCATACCTCATCACATGACTCAATTGTCCAATAGAACAATGAGGAGGGATCAGGTCTCATTTGCATAGCCCGGCTATATAAGCAGCACATGAGGGCGGCTCCAGCACACATTTCCTGCACAGAACGGAGAGAATCGGAGATCATGCCTGAACCAGCCAAGTCTGCCCCGGCGGCCAAGAAGGGCTCCAAGAAAGCCGTAGCCAAGACTCAGAAGAAGGACGGCAAGAAGCGGAGGAAGACCAGGAAGGAGAGTTATGCCATCTACGTGTACAAGGTGCTCAAGCAGGTCCACCCCGACACCGGCATCTCCTCCAAGGCCATGGGCATCATGAACTCCTTCGTCAATGACATCTTCGAGCGCATCGCCAACGAGGCTTCCCGCCTGGCTCATTACAACAAGCGCTCCACCATCACCTCCCGGGAGATCCAGACCGCCATCCGACTCCTCCTGCCCGGAGAGCTGGCCAAGCACGCCGTCTCCGAGGGCACCAAGGCCGTCACCAAGTACACCAGCGCCAAGTAAATATCAACATGGCACTACCCAAAAACAAGACCCAAAGGCTCTTCTAAGAGCCACCCAACACTTCACCAACTGAGCTGTGATCTGATTTGTCTAATACCTTCCAGGTAAAACTAACGAACCCTTGTTGTATACACAACATACAATAGCGGCTGATGCGTCAGATTATACGCTTGTTTATTAGTTTCCTTATTTTCTCCGCTCATACTGAATTGGTCCCACTTTAACCCATTCTACGCCGTACACATACAGTACACAGATCTAGTCTTTGGAGGGGACATTCTGAAAGGGAACAATCCGATGACATAGTAGATCTTCCCGGATCCCCGTACAGAGCCGATGCATCATGTGACCGGCAGGTGGCAGTGTTGTTCCTCCATAGAGGAGACATTGGAGTCATGTATCTGTATTGTATCCATATGTAACTGATATAAGGACTTGCTGAGTGCTGATACAAATGTTACATCTTTAAACACTTGTAACGGTGTCTACAAAGTGAAACAAATCTATATTTGTCTGGAGCATTGAGGTGAATGCTTGGAACACCATGTACAGTATTTAGATGTAACCTCTTAAGTCACTGGATAATATTTTCAAGCATAAAAAGACTTACAAATCCAGTCCTGTCTATCCCTAAAGTGCCTGTCACTGATTGTCAAACTGAAATTAAGCAAATCACTAACAAAGAGTGCAAATCATTATTTCTGCTGCCCACGCTACTGAATATAAATTGTCTATTGGGAGTGTTGGTTTCTCTTGTTCTCAGAAGTGAAAGGCAGAGGGGGGAATACTTAAGCATTGCGGGAGACACATGAGGTAGCCTTGCAAGTTCTCAGGATATAAATGCATACATCAGGGGCGGACTGACAACATAGGGGTCCCCTTATACAAGCACCAGCTGCATAAAGGAGCAGTGGCTATATCGGCCGCCAGCGTGTTCTGTGCATGCACACCGCCACTTTGGAGTATTCACCAAGATGGCAGCGCCTGCATCTTCAAGTTCCGCCATCTTGGTGTATACCAAGGATTACTCCAAATATACTCCACGCGCAGAACACGCTGGCGGCCTACATGGCCGTCGCTCGATCTGCAGTTTCTCTATGCGGTTTTGAAACGGCAATAAAACATGTTTCCTTTGACAAAACAAATTACAATGTTTTTCATTTTAATTTGTTTCCTCTGAACCAAAAATGTTTTGTCCTGCACATCTATTACAAACAACACCAAATATATAATCTGACTAATTTACAGCAGATATGCATAAAATATAACACAACCCAATCTGCCAATATACATGATACATTTTCTTATCAGTGTCCATAAACTTTAAAAACAAAAGAGTTCTCACCAGGGGAGATGCAGGCAGCATTCTTCCAGTGGGGGGCCCAGGGCCAGAT